CTCATACCGCGCCTCCTCCCGCCCCCGCCCGCGAGCGGGCTTCCGGCGCAGCCTCTCCTGGATAACTATTTCGTGGGACGGCCCCAGCGTCAGGAGCGTTCGGCCACGCCCCTGCCCTCCCGCGCCCTCCAGAGGAGACTCCGTCACGTCTGCCGGGAACAACGCCCGCCCCGTCTGTGCCGAACCAACGGCCCACCTCACGAGAAGCTCCGCCCTCGGCTCGTACTTCTCCACGGCGTTGTCGCGCGCCAACTGCGGCTGGCGGACAGTTATCTGCCGCAGCGTCAAATAAAATACATAACTCTCGCACGACCCTCGAAGAGCAGTCATACACGAAGGCACATGCATGTCCAGCACACGGGCGCGACGAATAATACGTAGCGCCGCGTAGATACCACACACTGCTACACAAGAGCGGAGTCACGTAGAAGAAAGTAGGAAAAGACTACCTTGACACGAGAACACACACGAACACGCAGGCACACACACACACGTACACACGGGGAAAACAAAGGGAAAAAAACCACGCGTAGGAAATGCTAGATGTTGTCTTCCGAGAGGCTCCCGCCGCGACCTCCACCAGCGTGTCGTTCTCTTTCCTTTCGGCTGTTGCTGTTGCGTGGGTTCCTCTCCCTCCCTCCCTCTCGCCATCCGCGGCGCCACTAGACGAAGTACGACGGCGAGGGGCAAAGGCACTCCGTCCGCAGCAGCCCCACTGCATGCCGTCACGGTGCCGCGCAGAAGGCCGGCGCAGCACCGGCGAAAAACGCAGGCACCCACGGAGCGCCGCGCTACGGCAGACCGTCGTGCCCGCTACTGGGCCCCGTCTCGCGTCCAGTACACCTGCCCCTCCATCCTCCCCTCGTCCAGCTGGCGGCCGCGCTCCACCTCGGGGAGGCGGTGGTTCATGAACACCAGTTGCATCTCCTCCGGCGTCATGTCCTTCACCCAGCCCCTCGCGTTCAGGTACCGCCGGGCCATCTCGCGCTGCCTCAGGTCCTTGTGGTACGCGCTCTTCGGGTGGCTCGCCTGCCACAGGGCGTGGAAGAGGCCGGGGTCCCGCAGCCCCTCCTCAAGCTGCGCCTCAGTGAGCGGGGCAAAGTTGGGGCGGTGCAGCCGCTCAATCAGCGGCGCCTCCTCCAGCTCCTGCTGCCGCAGCGCCACGTACTGCCGCATGTGCACCGCGCGGTACTTCTCGCTCTCCTCCGCGTACTGCCGCTCCGTCATCCCCTTCACCGGGGAACTCTGCGGCGTGTCGACGCCGATGAAGCACACGCCCATGCGGCGCGCCTGCCCCACCACACGACGCACGCGTGTCTCAATGAGTGGGTACTCCGGCCTTCCCCAACTCCGCGGCTTCATCAGCGCAATCTCGTACGCCATCTCCAGCGTCATGAGGGCGCAGTAGTGCCCGCGCAGCGCCACAGGGCCGGTCTCACGGCGCTTCTTCCGTAGCGCGCGCAGGATGAACCAGGCCGTCGGCGGCGGCTCAATCGCGTACAGGTACGACTTGTCAAAAAACACCTGAATCCGCACGAGGAGCTCCACGTCGTCCTTGAAGTGCGGCTTCGTGCGGTCGTTGAAGGCCTTTGCAAAGTCCATGGCCTTGAGGCCGAGCTTCGAAAACTCCTGCCCCACCGGGGGGCCCGTCGCCGCCTTCCCAGCCCTTATAAAGAAGCGCCAGTTGTGCAGCACCCGCTTCCCAGGAAACTCCGGCACCGCGAAGATGTCCTTTGCCTTCGCCACCACCGCGGCATCCAACATGCGCCTCGAGCCCGGCTCCACGCCAACGGTCTTCGGCCGGGCCTTCAACAGCAGAGCGGCGCCTCGGCGGAGCATCTGCCCAGCCACGCTGCAGCCCCCCTCCGCTTCCTACAGACTGCCCGCGCGCCAAGGTGGAAGGGACGGAAACAGTGACACGGCGGCACCCGCGCGGCGAACAGAAACACAACCCCCACAAGCACACAGACGCTCTCACAGATCAGAATTTGGAGAAGAAAAAAAAACACCACCCGCATTGCGTGCCCCGCTCCCACGCCCGCAGGGATCCGCTGGCACAGGAAAGCCAAGCAACCTAAACAGCTTTTCCGGCCCGCACCATGCAGCACAGCGTCTCGCGCGTCTGCTCGCACGGACCGTCCGATAACCCACACTCAATGTGCCGCAGTTCGTCCCCGCGAACACGCTGCAGCCGCGCCTCCAACTCGGAGGCCGGCACGCCAAGGCCCGCCGCAAGCTGCACCAAGGCGCCGGAGTCGCCGTAAAACGTCCGTCGCTGGTGGACGTGCCGCGCCGCCAGGTAGTCGAGCAGCCAGCACCTGAGGTGCTCCACGCCGCACCCTTCCGCCCCACCGCCAACTGCCCCCAACACCTCCCGGAACGCCTCCCCGTACGCGCAGCGGCCGCAGAGGCGGGCCACCCGCCCCAGCAACGCGCACCCGTAGCCCTCCGCCTGCCGGTCGCCGTGCGCAGGCAGCCGCTCCCACCGCCGCACCGCCCACGTCGCGTTGACCACGTCGTTCCGCACCAGGTACGCCGTCACGAGAATACGAAAAAAGAGCGGCAACTCATCCCACCGCTGGCGCAGCGGACCGCACTCGGCCTCCTCCGCCAAGCACAGGACCGCCTCCGCCCTTCGCTCACAGGCATGGGCGAGGCACGATTCCACCGCCGCACTATGCATTCAGCCACTGCCACTAGAACCCCCTAGAACCACTAGCGAGCAGGCAAACAGACGTGACGGATGAGCGCCACGTAGAAGAAAAACCAGCTCCGTGTGAAACGCGATGGGGCTCCCCTCCGACCAGCGCCAGTGCCTGCAGACACACAGACTCTCTAACAGATCGGAATTTGGAGGAAAACGAACAAACATCGCTTGCACTGTATGCCCTCGCTCCCACGCCCGCAGGGATCCGCCGGCACAGGAAAGCCCGCATCGGCCCAACACCGGCTCCAGTGCCACTCACTCCCCCCTCACAAGGTACTACTCGCTAATGCATCCCACGGCGGCAGAACGTACGGAAGGCCGTCCGGCATAATTTTGTCGGCCCTCGCAGACTTCGCAATGGCACTCCACAACGCCTCAAAAACAATTCGGCCGCCGTCCCCGTTGAAGTGGAGGCCGTCGACAAAGTTCCCACACCACGGACCCTTTGCGTACGGCGTTGTGTCGGCGCCCGCGCCCAGAAAGGCAAGGTGCAGATCAACCGTAAACACATCCCCGTGCTCCGCGTACTCCTCGGCCCCAACCTGCAGCGCGGCGTCGCGGTAGCGCCGCACGTTTTCGAAACTGCGCTTACAGGAGTCGGGCTCACGGCCAACGCTCCTCAACCATGTCAGTCGGCCCTCCTCGTCCAAGGGCGGGGGCGACATGAGGAATAAGCCACCAACAGGAGCCACGTGCTCGCGCACAAGCCTGACGATTGCCTTCAGGTTCACCCTGTACTCCTCCAGCGGCACATACTGAGGCAAGCCGGCGCAGTCGTTGGATCCAAGCATTAGGGTCACAAATAGCGGCTGGCCAATGTGTGGGGGAAGCAGGTGCCGGCGCCTCTCGTCATCGTTCAGTATGTCCAGTACCCAGCGTGTGTTGTAGCCGCTTAGCCCACGATTGAGCACATCTGCGCGGCGCACGTAACGTTCGCTGAGCTGCGCGGCCCAGCCAGAGAAGTAACCCTGCTCCGTCAACGAGTCCCCAAGAAGAATGGCGGTGCGCATTGAATGCGTAAAGGGCGAATCGCCTCCTGTGGGCACTTGCGGCAACGCCGCCCGCGCGTGTTTCACTGCAGGGGGAGAGGAAATGGGGAGGGGGATGGGTAATGGGAAGAACGCAGCTGGAAGCGTGGCAAAACGGCGCCTTTACCGGGCGCGGTTGGCTAGTTGCACTCTGAAGCACGTATGTGGCGCAGCTCATTCGGTCATGTGCACCACCACCACCACCAGATACACATACACACACATAAATAACCCTTTGTCTCCTTAACCTCGTTGGATCTGTCAGAATGTTGTCGTCAGAACTGGCGCATGCGTCTTAGCAGCGTCCGTCACACGTACCTTACAGCGGCATGTGTGTGCCGCCTCCCGAGTCTCACCTGTTTT